GGCAGGATCCGTTTTATGACCGGTCCCCCTGGTTCATTTTAGTGGGAAGGTTGGTGAGGTTCTTTGGAGAACAGTGAGAAGGGACTAGCTCTTTTCATTGAAAGCCCTACAATTTGCGGCAGCATAGTCACAGTATTTGACAATGTACAGAAAGCATTCTTGCCTTGTTCTATCAAACAGTTCAGCTCATGGAATTAAGAGTTTCTTTTTAATGAATCCGCTTCACTTACAAATTATAATTACCACAACCATTTATCTGGAAATTGATGCAAGTGTTCCCAATGAGGACATTTAACACGATCTCAAAGTATGAGACTGTTATGGCATAGTGGTAGCATTTCTACCTCTGAGTGAGGAGGCCTGAGTTCAAGCCCACCTGCTGCAGAGGTGTCATGATACCTCTTAACAGATTGATTAGAAATATGTCTTCTTTTTATTTTGATTTCATGTTCAACTAATCCTATCGTGAATCCTTTATCGTCAGCAGTTCCACTGTCAGATTAGAGAATTTTTCGAATGCCTTAAATTGGCCAAATGTAAAACTGTACCCTGGTACTGAGGAAGCTATCACTATACTGCAGATAAGAAAATGCCTTCAAAACAATAAATTGGGGAAGTATGGTTGGGTAAATGCTTTTCCGGCACCTCCATATTTGTAAGTTTCTGTCCGTGAATCAAAACAGATTCATAAAATTGACTTTTCTAATATAAATTTTTGGGTTCAGTGGTAAGTGTGTGAATTCCATTTGGACATGCACTGCACTTGTGCTGAAAGTGGATTTAAGCATTTAATCTCATCCTCCCGCAGCCAAGTACAGTTTTGCATTTGATTCTTTCTTGTGATTCAAAATGCACTGCTCCCCCTTTTGCTTCAGCCCTTTGCATTATTGACAGGCGTGTGATGTGGGTCGAGTATATGAAGTACTGATGCCAGCTGTGATCATTTGCAAAACAAAAACAGCCAAAACACAGAGATCTTGCAACAGTAAAGGTGTAAGTGGCAGGATATGAAGCATGTTTTAATGATCTAACATGGGAATGAAACATGGAAATAGTAATGGAAATGCCTTTTCAGTTGTGACACTGCTGTTCTCAAACAGCTATTTAAGAGCAAGAGAAATCGGGAAAAGGACATGACCATTCAGCACTTCAGGTCTTGCCCTACTGTTCAATGAGATCAGGGCTGATCATCATTTTGAATGCAATTTTCCTGCACAATCTCTGAATGATGATGTTTAAGTACATTGAACGTGCTCAGTGATTGAGTCCAGACAGCCCTCTGGGGCAGAGATCTCCAAAGATTTACCTGTTGGCTGATTAGCAAAAACCAGATGTTGCACGTACAAATCCTCAATCTAATTCCATGAGCTAAACTAAATATACTGTGTAGACAGTACAGCAAGTGAAACCAGATGAGGGACGTAGATGGATTTATGAGATGGTTGGTGAGAAAATATGATGTAATTCTGTTGCAAGTTTATGCAGCACACCTTTATTATTTTCATCATGTTGCCAGCAAAAATTGTGTTGAATGTTTGTTTATTGACCTGATGGGATTCTAGACCAAGTCAGCACCAAATGTGAAGGATTATGTTTAGTCCTTACTCCTACAGGAAATTGAAATGGAAGGTGTTGGATAGTGGGGTTATAAAAAATAAAGCTAAACAGGTCAGCAGAAACCGTGTGATTAAGTTGATCAGGGATTCAAAATGTTTACTTTCCCTAACATCCAGCCTTGGTTACCACCCTTGCAGAAATATATGGATGCCCTTGACAGGGTGCCAAGGTGAGGAATTTCTGGTTACAATGTTGGGTTGGAGAGACTGGGATTGCTCTACTTGAAGCAAAGTTGAGGGCAGCTGCAGAAGATTGTGACAGGTTTCAAAAAGGTAGAGAAAGGAAGGCTGTACCCATGAAACGACACAAGTAGTAGTGGACCCACATTTAAGATTTTAAGCAAGAGGCGCCACGATGAGTAACCATGGGCTGTGAAGGTGATGGAAGTAAAGATGATCAATGATTTCAAGAGGCACCAGAGATAGATAAAGGCTATGGGCATAGGATGGAACAATAAGACTGACTGGGTCACTACACAGAACTGGCATAAAGTTGATGGGCCAAATAGCCACCACCCGCGCTGTAAGGACTTACCAACGCTCATGTAATTTACTGAAGTGCAGCTTTAGTTTTGGCCACACATTGCTAAGCTGCCCAAAGGAAATTGATACTTGTTGCACATTTATTTACCGTTAGGTGGTTCTGTAGATTTATATCCCTCAGTCTGCAATGTTATGATCTGAGCCAGAAAAAATATTCCAGAATGGATTTTTGGAATGCTGTTGGTGACATGAAATATAATAAGCGGACTCTGCTGCATAAATACTGCATTGAACTTGCTTCTGTCAGTTAAAGAGCTCGTCCCTTTAATTGTCTCCCATGGCATGCTGGGACTGTTTGACAATTTCACATTTTTGATTAACTTTTTCAAAAAAAAATAATTTTGTCTTGTGTCCTCAAACTACGTAGTTGTGTGTTCCTAATACAACATTCCCTTACTATTTGGCTGTAACTTTTTACTTTGATTCAGAGTTTTGTTTGGAATTTGTTTTGTCAACATGCCATTTTTTTTGCCTCACCAATCTTACCACTGATATTGTTTCAACCTCTTCAGTCTGCTTACAGAAAGGCACATTAAGCGTACATATTGTGAGGAATTTCAAACTGTGTCTGATGAAAGTTTGCTATCTGAGGCACCTCAGCCATATTTTTTTCTCCAGAAATTTTGAAGGTATACTCTTCGTAAACAAAAAGGAAAAGAAATGCTTATTGAGCAGAACTTGTGTTGGGAAATAGTGCAAGGTAGAACAAGATTACTGCTTTCTAAATCTCTGATGACATTTCACTCGACAAATGGTCCGAGGGCTTCTGACTGATCCTGCAGGATAAACACTAAGATTTTGATACTGATTGTCAATGAGACTACATGTTTTAATTACTTAAAGATTGCAGCTGTTGTATCTTTATTTCAGTTCTTTTTGCCATTCCTTACTAAAAGTATAGTTGTGCTGGTAAATGCCGCAACTGATACTAATTATTCCTGCCAAACTTTTGGATTGTTTCTGATTATTCGAATGTAAACATTAGCGCTGTTTTGCTTGTTTTATTTTTTTTTACAGTAACCTTTTTTGTAGTAAGATTGGTTACCGGCTCAAAGCAGACTGAATAAGGCTCGTGATTTTTGTTCTGTTTTAGGTCTTATTTTGTCTCATTATTTTTAACCTTCATAGTTTTAGCTGTTTGCCATATTTTACCTGTTTTTATAACTTTTGTGTTTACTTCAGTCTGATTATGATTCATCTTTCATGTTTAGTTTTCGTTTTACAGCATTGTCCTCCCATCCTCTCTCTCTGTGTGTCTCTCTCTCTCTCAGAACTGGGAGATGCATTGTTGTTAAACAAGTACATTTGGAGCATTAAGGATGGGGTTGGTGGGTGGTTTAATAGACCATAATTGTAATTAGTATTTCATAGCCCTGTCTATCTGAACAGTAGGGATTTGCAGACATCCCAGTTTAATATTTGGACTGTTAATTCCATCAGACTGCCCACGGTATCACCAAATCTTATTTTTAAGAGCCGTTTTTTTGCAGATTCTGAAAAGTCCTTCCAAATTAAAATGCAAAACATAATATTTGTTTATTCTAGATGAATTCGGAATCATCTAATTATGTTCCCCAGTTAGTTGGGTTACTGTGGGATGTGGAACAAATCAGTCATTTTACGCTAGTCAGCAACTTACTGTGTTGCAGCCGCCACAGGATCTGCTAAATTGTTGTCATCAGAAATCCCAATTATCCATAGGGAGACAAAGGTATCTGTGCTTTGTAGCTGCAGTATCAAGACTGTATCATTGTGCGTTAATTTTGCATGACTATGTTCACTAGGTAATGGGTATAATTTATAACTAGATAACGGCAGAACTATCAGAGATAAACAGGAGTTTTTTTTTTAAAAATCAGTAGACATACAAACCTTTGGCAAATCAAATCAGATTTTGTGTAAAACTTTGGATGGTTTGATATGAACACGTAAAGCAGTGAACACATTGTCTTTATGAATAGGAGGTGACACCTTTAAGTTCCGATTGTTAAGTGAAAATAGATCAAGGTTCAGCTTCAAACATGACTGGTGGGCTTCTTAAAAATACAAATAAGTAAAAATTCGTAACAGCATTAATGACCTTCGTAGCTGTCATCTTTCAAAACTAAAATATTCATGTGTTAGTGTTACAGTGAGACAATTTCCAGCAATATCTCAAGTTATTTAATAAACAACTCTGGTGTCTTTCTAGCAAACTCTCATACATTTTTGACAAGAAATTGTGGTGACATTACTGTAGTGGTGAAGTCATGGGGTGAGTGATCCAGATGCCCAGATTAATGCTCTAGGGACAAGGTTTTGAATCCCAGCACAGTAGCTGGTATTTAAATGCATCAGTAAAATTGGAGCACGACGCTCGCCTCAGTAATGTTGACTAGGAATCTATCATTCCTTGTTGTAGAAACCCATTTGATTCACTAATTATCTTTAGGTCAACGTATCTTCCCTCCTTTATCTTGGCTGCCCTACAATGTGACTCCAGATGTACAGCAATGCACTTCATTCTTAATTGCCCTCTGGCTGAGCAAGCCACTCATTTGCAGGATGACAAATGCTGGCTTTGTCATTTCCCATGCAAGAATGATTTTTAACAAAGTAAACTCTTGAATGACATTTCATGCAGTAGAAATAAATAAAATAATTCATTGGAACTTAAACTGGATCCTAGTTATTGTAGATTCTGATATCCATTTACCTGGACTTAACTGTTTCAGTTTTAAAAACTGACACATTCTGAAGATATCTGCACATCCGTCCTGTCAGTTATTGTGAACGCACAATCTTTAAACGTTTATCTAAATTGCAGTTTTTTTTTTGCCCGCTTTCTTTCTTTGTTCACAGAGCATTTGTATACCTCAGCAATTTGCTGTATCCAGTGGCCCTCGTTCACAGAATTGCCATCGTTAGTGAGAAGGGAGAGGTCAGAGGCTTCCTCAGAGTGGGCGTACAGGCCATCACAGGTGGGTTTCACATTGTCAAGGTTAACATTCTTCTTTATTAATAACTCTGCTGACAGGGCAACACCAAGCTTCAATTATGCCATTGCTATGAATCGAAAGCATAACACATTTGTGTAGATTGCTAGATAAATCATTCCTTTCAACTGTTTATACAAATGTAATGATTTGATTTTGTATTTTTCCCTTTGACTTAACAGGTCAAATTGATGCAAGTCTAATTTTATTGCCTGAAGTGGAAAATGTTTCCCTTGTGCAGTGCAGTTGTGATATTACTGAGATATGCCTAACTGCAAAAAGAATTTGCCTCTTGTAATGTTAAGCCTTGTGTTGCACTGCACAGCTTCACAAGAATTCAATAGAATGTACATTCTGTAAAAAGTAGAGTGTATCAAATTATGAAGACTTGTTCACCTAGCCTTCCAAGACAGTACTTTACTGACATTGTTCAGTCCACTCTTCTGTTTCTCCCAGCCCATGATAATTATGTAAATGGGCAAGTTAATAAGCTTAGGTTCCTCAATTGACTTTGAATCCTCAATGTGATCACATCTAGTTTGGACTTAAACAAAAACAGAAGTTGCTGGAAAAGTTCAGCAGGTCTGACAGCATCTGTGAAGAAAAAAATCAGAGTTAACATTTTGGGTCTGGTGACCCTTCCTCAGAATCACTTTCCTCTAGTTTGGACTTGCTGGCAGGCAAGTATCATGAGGCATTGTCCTAAAGCAGGAATATTCTCACCCTATGGATTGTCAACTTTCTGGCCAGCAAAAGTCACTATCTTTCTGGTGGATTTAACTATCAACAAGTTGGAGAGCTTGTAGTGTTTGATTAAGTTTGTCTGATCACTGATCCTTGTATAGTGCTTGATTGCGACCATCTGAGTCCATAAAACATTCCTTTGTCAGAAGAAATTTTGGGGAGAAATGAAACACAATGCTTCCAGCTAGGATTGCATGTATATTGAAAAGTACTGTAAAGTCTGTAATGATTTAAGCCATGTAAATAAACTGTGTGAATTTATTTGTAATGCAACCAAATGTGCATTACTTTGAGATGAATAAGAAAAATGGCAAATCAGTTCACAATGAACACACATCGCTGCAAACATCTTGTGTTATGATTTAACAGGCTCTAAATTTGCAAAAACAAATCACTGTTGACTTTGTAGTGTTCTAGTACCAACGTTTTATACAAAGGTCTTGCTTAACTCAAATTTGATTTGAATTCCTGTTGAATTTTTCTCTCTCTCTCTCCTAGCTGATGAGGAGGCACCAGACTATGGATCTGGTGTACGCCAGTCTGGCACTGCTAAAATTTCATTCGATGATGAGAACTACAGAGAGGTAAGTGTAATGTTGTTTCTAAACAGCCCCCACACGTTTGTGTACATTTAAAGTAGACGCAAGCCTAGTCACCAGAGTTATTGTGACTTCCCATTTTGTTTTCCATTACTTTATTCACAGAGTGACGTTTCTTCTATTGTAATGTCACGTTCTGGGCTCTCGTTGGAGGAGCTTAGGATTGTCGAAGGGCAGGGTCAGAGCACAGAGGTCATCACCCCATCGGAGGAGATGAACAGAATCAACGAGCTGGGTAAATGGTTTAAAATAAACTTGAAGCAGTGCTGGTGTTGTGAACAGTAGTGAATGCTTTTTCAGCCTGCAAATGGAATGTAATAAGATTACAATGGATGTACAAATGAGTTCATCTGCATTCATTATAATCCCTCAAGTTGTATCAGAAAATGAAGCCTTTGCAATGGGGTTGGGGGAGGGGACAAATTTGTCAGAGTTTAGTCATAGAAATCTGAACATAAGCTGCTGTTTTAATCTTACTGTTGAGAATTTATGGAAATCCTATTACAGATAATGGAATACTGAGTGAATCTGGTGTTTAAAATTATTTTCATAGAACTCAGCCCAGGTCAAATCTTTCAAATCAAAATACAACTTAAATCCTGCTTTCCATGTGTATTCATGTTATACGTTGGAGTACAAGTTAATAAATCCAGTAGGGTTTCCAAATGTAGAATTGTAATACAGTGATGTTCTACTTTTCTCCCCCTGCAGAATTAGATTAGCAATGCAATTTTACGATATCATTCGAATTGGTGGAGCAAATTGGTGGTGCACTAATTTGGGTTGAAATGTTGTGACAAAAATATTGAATCAATGGTGCTTTTTTTATTTACACTGTACTCCTCCTAAGGACGTTACAGCAGAATCCAAGATACAATTTAGTGTTGACAATGGGGCTCAGGTGATTTAAATGACGACTGGTTTGTGACAGTCACACTAACAGCGTGTGTTTGATTCCCTTGCTGGCTGAGGTAACCATACTTTCTCAACCTCACCTGAGGGCATGGTGACCCTTGGGTTAACCTCACCACCAGTTCCCCCTCTTTCTAATGAGAGAGCAGCCTGTGTTCCTCTGAGACTCTGGTGATTTTCACTTCATGTTGTAAGAGGACATCCATAGTACTTTGCCAACACTTCTGTATGTTTTTTCCCAGCTTTTGAAAATATGATTTCTCCTCCATACTAACCAGGGTGCCATGGAATTGCTTATAGGGTTTTATTCCCAAGATTGGACTCCTGTCTGGAAGTTTGCTGCTTTTTAAATAAGTTCAACTACGAATAAGGCTGGGTCTTGCAGAAAAGGCCATTTGGTCTGTGTTGGCTACTTACAAAGAGAAGCAGTTGGACAAGTGTCACTCCCTGGCCCTTTCCCTATGTCTGTTCCTCCTTCAAGCGAATGAATCAGTCTCCACTGCTCTCTCAGGCAGTGCGTTCCAGGTGGTAAACATCTTGCTGTATAAAAATGCCGTTCCTCATGGTGTCTTTGTTTCTTTTGTCACTTTGCTTAAGTCCATTGCCTGTGGTTCTTGACTCTGCCATCGATTGAAACAGTTTTCACTCACTCCCTAGGGAGTTTGACCAACTCTTTCAAGTCTCTCCTGAACGTTCTCCAAGGAGAATCATCCTGGTGTGATTTTGCTGGTGAATTATTAAAGTGATGGTCAATAATGCGTGAAATTAATGTCTTGAGAGGCGACAAGCCTTTGGCCGAAGGAGGCTTTTCAGCCTGTATTGTTTATGGTGCACTATCTCATCTTGAAATACAGTGGTTAGGTTAATGTCATTGTATTGGGGTCTTTTGCAATGCAGATTTTAAATCAAGCACGGAGTTGGACCCCAAACTGTCCCAGGGGGGAGTATCTGACAGCATTGGCGAGCACTTAAAAGTCGGCAGTGTTTTCACTTTCCGAGTGACAGTGCTACAGGCCAGTGGGATCCCACCAGAATATGCAGACATATTCTGTCAGTTCAAGTAAGTAGCTTTCTCTTTCTTTTTCTTTTTTATTTGCATTGTGCATTGCAGGTTATGTCCATGTCGATAGTCTGGGAGGTCACATACAACATCTCATTGTCAGACAGCTAATGTCAAGTATCATTTTGCTTTGGATTCTGCCACTTCTGAAGTGATGATGCAATTTGTAGTTTCTCTATATAGTGAGCAAGTTATTATTTTGGCTGTTAATATGATTGCCTTAAGGTATCTATTATATATCTTTAAGCAAGTACACTATTTTCGTAAACATTTTCCCCATTTTCTAAAATAACAGCTAAGGTAAGGGATGAAGCAAATACTGTGCAATACAATATTAAATTAAGTCAAATAACAATTTTATTTGAATTGTTGATAAATAATTTTAAGGTAATAACTTAATTCTGTATTCTTTTAGACTGCACCTCTGATGTAATACCCTATTCACACCTCCTTCCCTGTCCTTCTCACCTACTCCCCCAAACCTTGCCCCCTGCCTTCCCTCTTCCCTCTTTTTACCCAGTGTTCCTCTACTGCAGTGAAGTGCTCCACCTAGTGGGTTTATTTTTAAAAACTCTTTCACGTTTAGTGACATTGATGCAAATAACTTCCTCTATCTATTAGAGATATACAACACAGAACAGGTCCTTCAGTCCAACTCGTCTGTGCTGACCAGGTATCAGAAATAAATCTATTCCCGTTTGCCAGCATTTGGCCCATATCCCTCTAAACCCTTCCTAATCATATACCCATCCAGATGCCTTTTAAATGTTGGAATTGTTCCAGCCTCCACCACTTCCTCTGGCAGCTCATTCCATACACGCATCACCCTCTACGTGAAAAGGTTACCCTTAGGTCCCTTTTCAATCTTTCCCCCCTCACCTTAAACCTATGACCTCTGGTTTTGGACTCCATCACCCTAGGGAAAATATCTTTTCTATTTACCCTATCCATGCTCCTCTTGATTTTATAAACATCTATAAGGTCACACCTCAGCCTCCAAAGTTCCATGGGAAAAAAGCTGCAGTCTATTCAGCGTCTCCGTATAGCTCAAACCCTTCATCCCTGGCAGTATCCTTTTCTTGAACCTTTTTCTTCTTTCTGAACCCTTTCAAAATTCACAACATCCTTCCTATAGCAGGGAGACTAGAACTGAATGCAGTATTCAATAATGGCCTGACCAACGTCCTGTACAGCTGCAACATGACCTTCTAACTCCTACACTCAATGCACTGAGGAATAAAGGAAAGCATATTAAACGTCACCTTCACTATCCTATCTGGTACTCCTCTTTCAAGGAACTATGAATCTGCCACTCCTCAGCCCATTGGCCCATCTGATCAAGCTCCAGTTGTACTCCAAGTAACCTTCTTTGCTGTCCACTACACCTCCAATTTTGGTGTCGTCTGCAAACTTACTAACCATACCTCCTATGTTCACATCCAAATCATTTTTATAAATTGATGAAAAGCAGTGGACCCAGCACCGACCCTTGTGGCACACCACTGGTTGCAGGCCTTCAGTCTGAAAAGCAACCCTGGACCACCACCCTCTGTCTTCTACCTTCGAACCAGTCCTGTATCCAAGTAGATAGTTTTCCCTGTATTCCTTATGATCTAACCTTGCTAACTGTTGCAAGGTTGGGTAGAGCACCTCTGGATTGGGAGGCAGGAAGTTATAATTCGGTGTTTGTAAAATGCTTGAGAGGAAAGCATTGCATGGTCCCTTTAAAAGATCATGTGCTTTTTCTGTGGTTAGTGAGTTAAAATGGATGCTGGGGGAAGTAGCTTTAAAGTTTGTAAGTGCACAAAGAGCACCCAAATTTAAACATCTGTATCGAAAGGCCATACAGTTAGCAGGCCAAGCATCAGTTTTTTTTTACCGAGACCACAGGCTTTTTGAATATAGCCAATCCATTTGAACCAGGAACTTGGATACCAAAAACCTATTAAATTTAAGTCTGATCATTTTGACAATATAAGACCAATCCTATTGTAAGGAATATTGATATGTTATCAAGGCTATAAAAGAAGGGGGTAGCTGGACAAGGACCTCTGCCAAAGCTAACGGCACTCAGCTCTTGAGAGAATTGCTGGCTCTCACTATGTCTTAGAGAAAGCACCGTCTAAATAACAACAGTACCAATGGCCTAACTCATTAATATTCCTGACAGAAGAATCTACAGAGAAGGCACAGAACATTTTGGAAAACACGTAACCTGACTGTAATCTGGAAACTAAATTTTTTTTTATTTAATGAGTGGGGCTTGTATTTATTGGAACAGCATACCATTAGAATCTTGATTTATTTGGGAGTAGTTAGTAGTTAGGATTTATTTGGTTTGTTAATAGTTTAGTTAATTTGTTCACTGCTAGAGTTAGATAAATAAATTATTACTTATTGATTTTAAAGTGAGTGTCAGGGATTTATTTTATTTAACAACTAGAAGTTGCTGAAAGAGAGGCTACACCACTTTTCACACTCCTTTTACAGGTTATAAGATGAGGTGTTGCTTTAGGTATTTCGGTTTTAGTTCTCAGAAGGGTATCAACCTGCGCTTTATAAACGTTAACCAGTCTACCAGGAGGATTCTTGTCAAACGCCTTATTGAAGAACATACAGATCACATCCACCGCCCTGTCCTCATCAATCCTCTTCATTAAATCATTTTCAAAAAAGTCAATCGTTAGCGAGACACAATTTCCCACACTCCAAGCCGTGTTAACTATACCTAATCAGTCCTTGTCTTTCCAAACACGTAAACCCTGTCCGTTAGGCCTCGCTGGTCTATAGTTCCTTGCCATAGAGTCATACAGCACAGAGACAGACCCTTCAGTCCGACTCATCCACACCAACCAGACATCCCAATCTGACTGAGTCCTATTTGCCAGCATTTGGCCCATATCCTTCTTAAACCTCTCCTATTCATATATTCACCCAGATGCTGCCTCCTAGCGGCTTGTTCCATATACATACCACCCACTGAGTTAAAAATTCCCCCTCAAGTCCCTTTTAAACCTTTCCCCTCTCACCTTAAACAATGCCCTCTTGTTTTGGTCTTTTGGAGTCCAAACAACCTTATCTATTTACCCTATCAATGCCCCTGATGATTTTATAAACCTCTATAAGGTCACTTCTCAGTTTACAACGCTCTGAAGGAAATAGCCCCAGCCTATTCAGCCTCTCCCTATACCTCAATCCCTCCAATCCCAGTAGCATCCTTGCAAGTCTTTTCTACACCCTTTCAAGTTTAACAGCATCCTATGGGAGTGTGACCAGCATTGTGTGCAGTCTTATAAAAGTGGCCTCACCAATGTACTGCATAGCTGCAACGTGACATCCCAACTCGTAGACTCCAATGTTCTGGCCAATGAGGACAAGCACATCAAACGCTTTCACCACCCTGTCAACCTGCAACTCCACTTTCAAGCAACTATGCACCTGCATCCCAGGTCTCTTTGTTCGGCAACACTCCCCATTAACTACCATTAATTGTATAAGTCCTGCCCTGGTTTGCTTTGCCAAAATGCAACACCTTACATGTATCAAAATTACTCCATCTGCCACTCCTTGGCCCATTGGCCCATCTGAACAATGCCCCATTGTACTCTGAGGTAACCTTCATTGTTGTCCACTACACCACCAATTTTGGTGTCATCTGCAAACCTACTAATCACATCTTCTATATTCACTTCCAAATCATTTATATAAATGATGAAAAGCAGTGGACCCAGCTCTTATCCTTATGGTACCTCGCTGGTTACAGGCTTCCGGTCCAAAAAGCAACCCTCTACCACCATCCTCTGCCTCCTTTCAAGCCAATTTTGTATCCAACTGGCTAGCTTCCCCTGGATTCCATATGATCTAACCTTACTAACCAGTCTACCGTGCAGAACCTTGTCAAACACTTTGCTGAATTCCATATAGACAGCTTCTATCACTCTGCCTTCATCAATCGTCTTTGTCACCTCTTCAAAAAATCTCAGTCAAGTTAGTGAGACACAATTTCCCCACACAAAGCCATGTCGACCGTCCCTAATCAGTCCTTGCCTTTCCAAATGCACGTAAATCCTGTCCCTCAATCTACAGCAACTTTACCTAACACTGACGGAATGCTCACCAGTCAGCAGTTCCCTGGGTTTTCCCTGCGGCCTTTCTTAAATAATGACGTCCAGCCTACCGACACCTCACCTGTGGTTGTCAATGATACAAATATCTCAGCAATTTCTTCCCTAGCTTCCCAAAAAGTTCTGAGAAATACATGAAAACGTCCTAGGGATTTATCCTGGGGATTTAGCCTCTTGAGTAGCACTAACAAATCTCCCCTCAAGGGTATTGGTCCCCTTCCAATTCAGGTGGAACCCATACCTCTTATACAGGTCAATCCTACCCCGAAAGAGATCCCAATGATCCAAAAATGTGAATCTTTGCCCCCTGCACCAGCTCCTCATTCATGTGCTCTATCCTCCTATTCCTACTCTCACTAACACTTGGTTTCCTTATTGTTAGGAAATTGTAGTGTTTTAACTTTTTCCAGAGAATTTATCAGCTTTGTTTGCGACTTTGAAGTTCTAAAGCTTTTGCGTGATAAAATGCTGCTTAATATTGAGATTACACTTTCATGCATATATAGTTTACCCATACTCCTCAGTATCAGCTGGGATCCTAATAATTTCGTAAGTGGCTCCAGCATCCCAAGAATCAGAGAAGCATTCTACAGTCCAATTTTTTTTGTTTGCATTACAACAGCGACTACATATCAAGAGCCATTAATTTGAGAGTTTGTGTGACATCTGTCAGTCAAGAAAGGCATTATATGGATGTGCATATTTGTTTTCTTACAAACTGAAATTACAACGGAGATGTTTGCTGAGTCACTTCAAAAAGCATTAGAAGTGTCACATTCAGTATAGAATTGGAATTGTACCTAAACCAAAACAGGTAGCATGTTAGGTTCCTTTCACAGTACTGAATTGATTCGAGCTCTTCAGTGGTTACTGAGATACTTTCCTGTGATTTCTCTGATCGTTAGCTAGAATTTGCATTTATTAAATAAAAACTGGAAATGCTGGAAGGCCTGGCAGCGTTTGTGGGGAGAAAAAGAACGCAGACGTTTCGGGTCTATGCCATTTTGTCAGGTCTTGAGATCCCAGTACTTGTCATGTGTGACAAGTTTCAAAACTTTCAATCTTGTACTCACCAGGACAAATGCAAGAATTCGTGGATTTTTAATTCATTTATGGGATGTGGGTGTCACTGGCTGAGTCAGCATTTTATTGTTTGTCCCTAATTGTTAAGAGACAACCATGTTGCTGTGTGTCTGGAGTTACATGTAGGCCAGACCAGGTAAGGATGACAGTTTCCTTCCCTAAAGAACGTAGTGAGCCAGGTGGGTTTCTCCTGACAATCGACGATCATTTCATGGTCATCATTAGATTTCAAATTCCAAATTTTAAAAATTCAATTCAAATTCCACCATCTGCCATGGTGGGATTTGAATCCAGGCCCCTAGAGCATGATCTGTGTCTCTGGATTAATTGTCTAGCAATAGTACTTTAAAAGTTCACAATGATGCTTCATATTGTCTAGAAGTGACATAAAATCATACAAAGGGACCATTCTCTACAACCAAAAGGAACAAACTTGCATCTTTTTGTTTTAAATTAGCCGTAAGCTCAGGGAATGTATAGTTCCCCATTGCTTTCTCCATGACAGCACCTTGGCCAATCAGAGTTGACCTGCCCACCAATTGTAGTGTAAGTTGTTGTAATCATTTAAAATCTGGCATTCTTGTGTTTATCCTGATAATTGCAAGGCAAAAGACTTCAGCAGCATCTCTCCTTGTTCATGACAAGTTGGTTGTTGAATGTCTAAATGTTTAATGTGTTTGCATCAAACTTCTCTATGCTCCGTTTCAACGTTAGTTAACTTTTTAACACGTTAATCATTGTTTGGTAAATTTCTTTTCTTCCCAGCTTCCTGCACCGCCATGATGAAGCCTTCTCGACTGAACCCCTGAAGAACAGTGGCCGGGGAACACCCCTTGGCTTTTACCATGTGCAGAATGTGAGTCTGGGACTTAGGTGTCTCCCAAAATGCCTGACCAATCGTTTCACCAGTTCCATAAGTATATTTGAAATTCCTGATGTAAGTTGGAAACATGTCTTTATCTCCATCATTTATTTAGGTTGCTGTTGAAGTAACAGAATCATTTGTAGAATATATCAAGACAAAGCCAATTGTTTTTGAAGTATTTGGGCACTACCAGCAGCACCCTTATCATTACCAAGGACAAGATTTCAAGAGGTAAACTTCATGCAAAAAATTGTAAAAAGGTTTCAAAATTTCAATATCTGCTAAGTAAATAAATTGCATTTGCTCTCTAAGGATTGTGTAAAACCAAACCTTTCTTCAGGCCCTGTCTTTCCTTTTGGCCTTTCAAGGGATATGGGCATTACTGGGGAGGCCAGCATTTGTTATCCATCTCTAATTGCCCTGGAGCTGAGCTGCTTGCGAGGGCACTTTCAGAGGTTAGTTAAAAGTCAACCACATTGCCTCTGCAGTGGATCAGGAGTCATGTATAGGCTACATCAGGTAGTGACAACAGATTTCCTTGAATCAGCTGCATTGGTTAACCTGATTGGGTTTTTGCAGCAAAAAATAATTCTCCTACTCACCATTACTGAGACCAGTTTTTTATATTTGGAGTCAATACAGTGTGCAGCTGGAGGAACACAGCTGATCAGGCAGCATCAGAGGAGCAGGAGACTCGGGAGTCCTGATGAAGGGTCCCAACCCGAAACATTGACTCTCCTGCTCCTCTGATGCTGCCTGACCTGCTGTGTTCCTCCAGCTCCACACTGTATTGACTCTGACTCCAGCATTTGCAGTTCTTGCTATCTCCCAGTTTTTATACTCCAGATTTATTAACTGGAATTGAAACCAGTTGAGCTGCCATTGTGGGATTTGAACCCAGGTTCCCAGAGCATTAGAGACAACAAGGTGCAGAGCTGGATGAACACAGCAGGCCAAGCAGCATCATAGGAGCAGAAAGGCTGATGTTTCGGGCCTAGACCCTTCATCAGAAAAGGGGAAGGGGAAGGGGGATCTGAAATAAATAGGGAGAGAGTGGGAGGTGGATAGAAGATGGATGGAGGAGAGGATAGGTGGAGAGGAAATAAACAGGTCGAAGAGGCGGGGATGGAGCCAGGAAAGGTGAGTGTAGGTGGGGAGTTAGGGAGGGGATAGGTCAGTCCAGGGAGGACGGACAGGTCAAGGGGGCGGGATGATGTTAGTAGGTAGGAGATGGGGGTGTGGCTTGAGGTGGGAGGAGGGGATAGGTGGGAGGAAGAACAGGTTAGGGAGGCAGGGACGAGCTGGACTGGTTTTGGGATGCAGTAGGGGGAGGGGAGATTTTGAAGCTTGTGAAATCCACATTGATACCATTGGGCTGCAGGGTTCCCAAGCGGAATAAGAGTTGCTGTTCCTGCAACCTTTGGGTTGCATCGTTGTGGCACTGCAGGAGGCCCAGGATGGACATGTCGTCTGAGGAATGGGAGGGAGAGTTGAAATGGTTCGCGACTGGGAGGTGCAGTTGTTTATTGCGAACCGAGCGTAGGTGTTCTGCAAAGCGGTCCCCAAGCCTCCACTTGGTTTCCCCGATGTAGAGGAAGCCACACCGGATGCAGTATACCACATTGGCAGATGTGCAGGTGAACATCTGCTTGATGTGGAAAGTGTTCTTGAGGCCTGGGATGGGGGTGAGGGAGGAGGTATGGGGGCAGGTGTAGCACTTCCTGTGGTTGCAGGGAAAAGTGCCAGGTGTGGTGGGGCTGGAGGGGAGTGTGGAGCGGACAAGGGAGTCACGGAGAGAGTTGTCCCTCCGGAAAGCAGATAAGGGTGGGGAGGGAAAGATGTCTTTGGTGGTGGGGTCGGATTGCAGATGGCGGAAGTGTCGGAGGATGATGCGTTGGATCCGGAGGTTGGTGGGGTGGTACGTGAGGACGAGGGGGATTCTTTTTTGGTT